TAACACCTCTCCTGCGCGAGCTGCACTGGCTCCCAGTGGTCTTCCGGGTGCGCTTCAAGGTGTTGGTTCTCACCTTTAAAGTGCTCCATGGCATAGGGCCGGGATACCTGCGAGACCGCCTGCTGCTACCGATAACCTTCCACCGGCCAGTACGCTCGCACAGAGAGGGCCTCCTCAGGGTGCCGTCGGCTAAGCAATGTCGGCTGGCAGCCCCCAGGGGGAGAGCCTTCTCTGTGGGGGCACCCAACCTGTGGAATGAGCTACCTCCTGGAATACGACTTATTTATTCCAACAAGCTGGCCTAGCTTAAATGGTTTTAATGGGGTTTTTAAATTTTCGATTTTATTGATTCTGGGTTTTAAATTGGATTGTTTGATTTTGCAGATCTGGGATTTTAAATTGGAAATGCCGATGATTTAATTTATTTTAGTTTTTTCTTAACTTTTGTACTATATGTGTTTTAAGTTTGGCTGTCCACCGCCCTGAGTCCCCCTAGGGAGAAGGGCGGTATATAAGTTGAATTAATAATAATAATAATGAGAGGTTGGAACCAGAGGTGGTATTTTGCTGGTTCAGGCCGGTTCGGGAGAACCGGTAGCAGTGGAGGTGGTGCGTGCGCTCACATTTGCGAACCGGTAGGGAAGGTAAGTGAATACCATCCCTGGGCAGGACGTTAGCAAGCCTGTGTTCGAGATCCGAAAGTTGGTGTGAGGCGGGGTTGAGCTCTTGTCCTTCACTCCTGCTGTGGACATGAAAGGCACCCTCAACGGAGTGTCCCCAGGTCAATGGTGATGTTATTGGCTTTGAACCCTTCCTTGGTGCTTCTGACTTGAGTGCATGCAGGTGGAGCTGCAATCTCATGGTTTATGCTGGTTTTGACCATAATAAAGATTTGGTTTAATTTGATCTCATGGTCATAGATTTTTTTTTTTTTTGACCTCCTCCTGTAGATACTCCTACCTTCAGGAGAGAAGCAACCTGGAATTAAGGAGAAGCTTCCTAACACTGAGGACAATTAATCAGTGGAACAGCTTGCCTCCAGAAGTTGTAGGTGCTTCATCACTGGAGGCTTTTAAGACAAGACTGGACAACCACTTGTCTAGAATGATAAGCAGTGGAACGAATTGCCTCCAGAAGCTGTGAGCGCTCCAACACTGGAGGTTTTTAAGAAGAGATTGGGCAAATGATATAGAGTTTCCTGCTTGAGCAGAGGGTTGGACTAGAAGGCCTCCAAGGTCCCTTCCTGCTTTATTCTGATTCTGATTCAATAGCTTGCCTTCAGAATTTGTGGGTGCTCCATCACTGGAGGCTTTCAAAAAGAGATTAAAAGGTAAAGGTAAAGGTTCCCCTTGCACATATGTGCTAGTCGTTCCCGACTTTAGGGGACGGTGTTCATCTCCGTTTCAAAGCCAAAGAGCCAGTGCTGTCCGAAGACGTCTCCGTGGTCATGTGGCCGGCATGACTAAACGCCAAAGGCACACGGAACGTTGTTACCTTCCCACCAAAGGTGGTCCCTATTTTTCCTACTTGCATTTTTTACGTGCTTTCTAACTGCTAGGTTGGCAGAAGCTGGGACAAGTAACGGGAGCTCACCCCGTTACGCGACACTAGGGATTCGAACCGCCGAACTGCCAACCCTTTTGATCGACAAGCTCAGCGCCTTAACCACTGAGCCACCACTCAGAGATTAGACAACAATTTTTCTGAAATGATACAGAGTCCCCTGGTCGAGTAGGGAGTTGGACTAGAAGGCCTCTGAGTTTCCTTGCAACTCCGTTATTCTATGTTCTAAATATTGGATACCAGGTGATGCTTAAGCAGAAAGATGTACTGTAGGCTTGGGAATGGTAACTTCATCAAGATCTCTGGAATGTACATCCAGAAAATAAATACTGATTTTTGGGATGGCTAAAAAAACCCCCACGCGAATGGAACTAATGTTCTAATAACCTAATAACTAATAATAACTAATAACCAATAACCTAATGTTCCCTTTAATTGTATTCATTTTATGTATTCAATTCATGCTTATACTTATATATATTATCCAATATGTACTTGACAAAATAAATAAATAAAATAAATAAATAAAATAAAGAGCCTTGGTAGTACAGTGGTCTAAGGCACCCTGTTATTAAGCTGGTTATTAAGACCAGCTGCCTGCAATTACTGCAGGTTCGAATCTCGCCAAGGCTCAAGGTTGACTCAGCCTTCCATCCTTTCTAAGGTAGGTAAATTGAGGACCCAGTTGTGGGGGCAATAAGCTGACTTTGTATAAAATATACAAAAGTATGAAGGCTATTGCTTAACGCACTGTAAGCCGCCCTGAGTCTCCGGAGAAGGGCGCATATAAATCAATTTAAAAAATAAATAAATAAATAAATAAATAAATAAATAAATAAATAAATAAATAAATAAATAATAAAAAAATAAATAAACTTTTATGGAGGTCATAAAGAGATTGTCATGAGCTATGGTTAGGTTTTAAGAATGCTCTGCGGCATTTCTTGAATCCTTTTATAACAGTAATATGCTCCCTCTAACGCCGTCTGTCCTTGAATGCTGGAGAAGAATTGGCAGGCAGGGAGTGACTTAAAGCTCTTTGTAACTTCAAGGAGATATGTCAAAATAAAGGGCAAAAAGCTACTTAAATCTCCAAACCATTCTTTTCAGCTCAATTTCTTTTTCTACAGATCATTATTTATTTTTTTCCCCCATCTCCCCAGGTTAGGTTAGCAAAATGCAAGATATGCAATTTGCATATCAGTCCTCCTTATAAAGGCACATCAGAGTCGACCGTTACCACTTAAAACAAAAAATGCAATATATTTCACAAGAATTGACTCTCGAATGGAGGTTTCTTTGTATCGGCTGGGGTGCCTTTTTCAAAAGGCAACTGGAACTTCATTTTTCTTTGAAGACCTTTTGCTTCTCATCCCAGAAGCTTCTTCAGTTCTGACTGAATGGTGGGGAATGGAAGGATTTATATTCCTTGCAGACAGCTTGGTCATTTGCATCCCTTTTAGACACTCGTTGAGGCTACTTGGAGGTTTCTCTGTGCCCTCAGGGTCACCGGAGTAGTGCAAATGAGTGTGGAAATACCTCCTCCTATTTACCACACAACAACAACCTTGTCAGGTGGGTTGGGCTGAAAGAGAAATGACTGATCCAAAGTCACTCAGCTGGCTTTCATGCATAAGGCAGGACTAACACTCACCGTCTGCTGGTGATTGGCCCAAAGTCACCCAGCTGCCTTTCATGGCTAAGGCGGGACTAGAACTCACTGTCTGCTGGGGATTGGCCCAAAGTCACCCAGCCAGCTTTCATGTCTAAGGCGGGACTAGAACTCATTGTGTCCTCAGGATTGGCCCAAAGTCACCCAGCCATTTTTCATGGCTAAGGCGGGACTAGAACGCACTGTCTCCTGGGGATTGGCCCAAAGTCACCCACCTGGCTTTCATGGCTAAAGTGGAATTAGAACTCAGTTCAGCACAGAGGAAGCTTCTTGTGAAATGAAATGAAACATCTTCAAGGAAAAGCAAAATCCAGTTGCCTTTTGAAAAAGTCACCTTTGGGACAACTATGACCTGCAGGACTGAAAATCTCCAGAAACGTTCTCAGTTCACAAGTAACTCTGGCTCCTTACATACCTTCAACTAAAATAGACACTTGTCCAAGGTCTTAAGTCATGAGAGTCGTAAAATGGATCGGTTACATGACCAACCTGATCTTACGAACTCTTTTTTTTTTTGCAGTGATCATTAAGCAAATATGACGGTCATAAAGCAGTCGCCACCATTTTTAAGTGAACCAATGGTTCAATATGGACATGGTTTTGCTGAAAACTGAACATAAATGCCGGCTTTGGGCAAAAGTGTCATAAAATGCGGTCAGATCACCACTGACCTCTGCAAATGGCATAAATGGTTGCTGAACACCAAAAGTTCAGTCATGTGACTGTGGGGGAAAACTAATTAGAGCAACTTCAAATGGTTGTTAAGCATTGTTAAGCGTCATAAATCGAGGAATATCTGTTTAGATGTCTCGCCATTTCTTTTTCAGCCTTCCCCTAATCCCTATAATTTCTGGATTTTGTCTGATATTCCTTTTCAAGACTTCCAAAGTCAATATAAATAATAACGGTGATAGCGAGCATCCTTGTCTTGCTCTTTTCTTTATATTAAAGTTCTCTGTATAGTCCCCATTTACAATTACTTTAGTTGTTTGTTTATGATATATTGTCTTAATTACATCTATGAATTCTTCCCCAAAGTCCATAAAGTTTAGTTGATGTATCATAAATTGCCAACTTACATTATCAAAAGCCTTCTGGGCGTCTAAGAAGATTAGCGCCATTTGTTTTCCTGGATGTGTTTCATAATATTCTAATGTGTCTAAAATGAACCTTAAATTGTGCTTTATTTGTCTTTTTGGTAAGAAACCATTTTGATCTAGGTGAATAATCCCTAACGATGCCAGATGTTGTAACCAGGTTGACCATGCACACATTTTCTGTCCAGATGCAGCTGACCCACTGTTATTTTGTGTGACACACAAACACACAAAGCCAAAACCTCAGTGAATTTCATCCTTTCTGAGCTGATTTTGGAAAAGTGAATGGATGGATGATTTGGGCTGCTGGTCGGTTGAATTGACTGTTCCGATTCGTGTCTCAAAAGTGCGTATCTTATTTATTAAAACTTGAATGTGTGTTGCAACCTGTGTATATGTGTGTGGGAGAACCTGCAATAGCAACTGAGGTATTGAGGACAAGTGGCATGATTTGCTAGTAATGCTTAATTAGTTTACAATATCACTTTCTTATTAAAAACAATCCAAACACCCTTCCTTTGCTTTCACTCTTAATAAAACATTTTTTTCTTTCTTTCTCATATTTCTTGAGTGTATGATACATTCTCATTTTTCTTTCCTGGACTATTTTAAAATACCTGTAATTAGAAGAGTTGACGGAACAAACAGTTAGGTTCATGTCTACATACCCCTTTGGCATCGATCACACCAGGCTTGGAATTAAATTTCACTGTTTTTAAACGTGCTTTTTCTTTCCTTTCCACCCTGGAGAGAAAGGGAAAAAAAGAGAGGAAGGAAGGAAAATGGAAATATGTATGAAATCCATTATTATCATCGTAGCTATACAGGTGGTCCTCGACTTATGACCACAATTGAGCCCAAAATATTTGTTGTTAAGTGAGACATTTGTTAAGTGAGTTTTGCCCCATTTTATGACCTTTCCGGCCCCAGTTGTTAAGTGAATCACTGCAGTTCAGGGGTGAAATTCAGCAGGTTCTGAAGAACCAGTAGTGGAAATTTTGAGTAGTTCAGAGAACCGGCAAATTCCACCTCTGGCTGGCCACACAGTGGGATGGGAATGGAGATTTTGCAGTATCCTTCACCTGCCACGCCCACCAAGCCATGCCCACAGAACCTGTAGTAAAAAAAATTGAATTTCACCACTGCTGCAATTGATAAGTTAGTAACTCGGTTGTTAGGTGAATCTGACGTCCCCATTGACTTTGTTTATCAGAAAGTCACAAAAACGGATCACATGACCCCCAGGACACAGCAATGGTCATAAGTATGAACCAGTTGTCAAGCATCTGAATTTTGATCACATGACCACGACTATGCTGCAATGGTCATAAGTGTGAAAAAGGGACATGTCGCTTTTTTTCAGTGCCGTTGTAACTTCAAACGGTCACTAAACGAACTGTTGTAAGTTGAGGACTACCCGTATTCAAGCAAGGAGGGGCATTTTATGTGTATATTTGATATTTTGTTTTATATGCACTTTTTTATTTTTACTTTTTTGCTTTGTCTTTATTTTGCTCTCTTTTGTTTTCTTCCCCCCCTTTTTTTTGGATTTTGCATTTTAACTTTTGAAATAAATTTTACAAAATATAAATATATATATAAAAATAAAAGATAAAGATAAAAGAATTAAGCAACCAGTGGTCCGACATAATGCATGGCTGGGAAGCACATACAGCTTGCCAGACTGGCCAACACTTAAACCTCTTTCTCCATTTCTTGCAAAAGATATACTTTTATTAGGAGTCAAGTGCATTGCAATAGCGCATAGCTAGAACTGAGAATCCCGCGCCAAAATCCCCAAGTTCAACTTTTTCCTCCCTTAACTGCCTCCCATTGCTGACACCCCCACCCCCAGCCCCCCATGACCAATCAGGTTCAAGCAAAATATTTTCAGAACGATCACTCCGAGCATAGATTGGTACGCAGCTGCCTTCTTCTCCCAGCCGGATGACCTTGAAGCAGCATCTCGGGGAAGATACAGCGGTTACTTTCGCTTTCCCCCCCAAGTATTCCTCTTTCTCATCCACCCTCCCCAGAATTCATGGCAGACTGCCACCACAGGGTAGCAAAACACAAGCAAGACATAAGGATGGCCGCTGACACATCTAGGGTTGAAAATAGGTAGGAGATATCTCACAAGTGATTAAAAATGTGATTAGTGATTAGATCAGGGGTGTCAAACTCAGTTTCATTGACGGCCGCATCAGGGGGCCGGGATGGGTGTGGCCAGGGTGGGCATGGCCAGCTTGACGTCACTTGTGTCGGCGGCGCCTGTGCTCTGCTAGTGAAAACGGGCTCCCAAGTTCTGTTTTCGGCTGTGACGGCCCTCCCGAGCGCCATTTTCACTGGCAGAGGCACCGCGGGCTGGTCCTTCACTGTTTCCAGGGCGGGCCAGATCTAAGCACCCCGCAGGCGGGATCCGGTCCCCGGCCCTTGGATTTGACACCCCCTGTTTTAGACCTACCCCTGTAACAATAATCCCGTAACAGATTCACCAGGCGGCAGAGATAGATCGATATACTTCAGGAGGAGAAACCCAGTTTTCCCAAGGTTACATAAGGAGGAGTTATTTTTGACTACGGGAAGAAGTGTGAAAACTACACGAGTTAATTATTGTGGAACAAAACGACTCGGAGAACATTATCTTCAAGAAGAAATAAAATATATACTTCTGTTTTTTTCAAAACGGCCCGTTTTTAACGTTGCCAGCTGCAAGCACACCAAGCTCGTGTTACTATAGTTACAGACGAACTTTGGAATAAATCTTTCTCTCCCCTCCCCCACACTCTGAGAAAGCCGCATGTAGACATAGAAATGCAGCTTTCATATTCAGAGTGGTTGATCTGTGAACCTTTCAAAACTCTCCATTTTAAATTTCGAAGGTGAAGTTCCGTATGGGGGGGAAGAAAAAAGGACGCAAGGGGAAAGACGTCGAAAGGGAAGGAAAATTGGAAAGTCCTAAACGGAGAAAGGGAACGTGGCATATTGGGGAACAAAGATAATTAGGTCAAAGCTAAATTCGGTCTTTTAATGATGATTATTACGCGCTAATATTAAGTTAGCTTTTCTTTCTCTCTCTCTCACCTCGCCGCGTGACTCGGTTTTTACGATTCGTTTCTGCTTTTAAGTAGAAAACCTGCTTCGGGTTGGGATCATCACACCGTAACGAGACTTGCTTGCCTGTTTGTGGCTTAGGTTGTTGTGTTCCGTAAACCACAATTTATGATTTAGCCTATTGCTTGAATAGGGTTAAACTCCTGGATTGTGAGGGCAGGATAGGGTACGGAGTGAATTAATTGGCTTTTCTGGATTTTAGTTCCATTTGCTATGCCAGGGATATTTGGGAATAAATTAACCCCCCTGGTCAGCGACGTTAGGTACTCTTGTATCCTTCCTTCCTTCTTTCCTTCCTCCCTCCTTCCCTTAATACTTCTTCCTTCCTTTCTTCCTTGTCCTTCCTTCCTTCTTTCTTTCCTTTTTCCTTCCCTTCCTTCTCCTTCCTTCCTTCCTTTCTTTTTCCTTCTTTTCTCTTTCTTCGTTTCTTCTTGCCTTCCTTCCTCCTTCCTTTTCTTTTTTTTCCTTCCTTCTCTCTCTCTCTCTTTCTTCTTACCTTCCTTCCTTCCTTTCTTTCTTCCTTTCTTCTTGCCTTCCTTCCTTTCTTTTTCCTTCCTTCTCTCTCTCTCTTTCTTCTTATCTTCCTTCCTTCTTTTTTCTCTTTCTTTTCTTCTTGCCTTCCTTCCTTCTCCTTCTCCTTTCTTCCTTTCTTCTTGCCCTTCCTTCCTTCCTTTCTTTTTCCTTCCTTCTCTCTCTCTCTCTCTCTCTCTCTCCCTTCCTTCCTTCCTTCCTTCCTTCCTTCCTTCCTTCCTTCCTTCCTTCCTTCCTTCCTCTCTTCCTTCCTTCCTTCCTTCCCTCCCTAAATATATAAATTTATTTATTTATTTATTATTTAGTGTATGGCATGCATTGTCAGGGAAATGTAGATACAATAGCCTAAATTGATAGTTCATTCGGTTTGGCATTTGCGTGCCTATCCTTGGTGCACTGCAGGGGAAGAGCTCCCTTACACCATCTGACTAGCGGTGCTCGGATTGCAGGCTCTGGGCTCCTCTGTCAGTCTTGCCTTGTCTCGCTTTATGTTGCAATGCCTTGTGTCCGGCCAGGTCCAGCATCAGCTTATGCTCTCCGCACACACGAACGCAGCTCAGTTTTTCCCACCAAAGTGGTACCCATTTATCTACTTGCATTGTTTCATGCTTTTGAACTGCTGGGTGGGCAGGAGCTGGGGATTGAGCGACAGGAGCTCACTCTGTCTCACGGCGCCAGGCTCGAATCGCCAGAGTGCAGATCATTTCTAGCCAGCAATTCCAGCATCATTAAGCCACTGCGCCACCACATCCCTAAGCTTAAAGATAATATGTTGTTCATGAATTCATACTGCCCCATTGTCAATATCATGTTATGGACAGTACGGCCATTATTAAAAGTGAAACAGCTTTGTGTCTCTCCCTCTGTGTTTTTCCTTTTATACATTTTTGTATATCTCAAAGTGTGATCTTGCAACAGAGACTTGAAATAAGGTTTGCAAAAAAGAAAGGAAGGAAGGAAGAAAGAAAGAGGGAGAAGAGGACACAACATACCTTCTTTTGCTAGGTATAACTCCCATCTCTTCACTGTCGCCTTCCAGCATGACCCTCCTTGCTTGCCACCACTCGTCATCGGAGGCGTTGATAACGTGGAGAATATCTCCATACTTGAAGCTGAGTCCTTGGCTGGGGAGGCCACTGTCCTTGCTTTTGTCGTAGTCAAACATGGCTCTGTGAGAAGAAAACACACAAAGGATGGCTTGGTTAAACCCAACCAGGACAGCACTGGGCAATCATCAGAGGTATCTATGGAGATTCTCAGTCATCCAAGTCATGGTTGTCCTACAGGTGCTTTTTCAAGAGGCAACTGGATTTTCTGGTTTTTTCTTTGAAGGTGTTTCACTTCTCATCCAAGAAGCTTCTTCAGCTCTAAGTGGATGGTGGGGAATGGAAGGATTTATACTCCTTGCAGACAGCTGGTCATTTGCATCCTTTTAGAGGGTCGTTGAGACCACTTGGAGGTTTGTCTCTGTCCTCAGGGTCACCTTAGTAGTGCAAATGGGTGCGGTGACCCTGAGGACACAGATAAGCCTCCAAGTGACCTCAACGACCCTCTAAAAGAGCCTTGGTACTACAGTGGTTTAAAGCACCCTGTTATTAACACAGCTGCCTGCAATTTACTGCTGGTTCGAATCTCTCCAAGGCTCAAGGTTGACTCAGCCTTCCATCCTTTCTAAGGTAGGTAAATTGAGGACCCAGTTTGTGGGGGCAATAAGCTGACTTTGTATAAATATACAAAAGTATGAAGGCTATTGCTTAACACATTGTAAGCCGCCCTGAGTCTCCGGAGAAGGGCGGCATATAAATCAAATTAAAAAAAAAAAAAAGGATACAAATGACCAGCTGTCTGCAAGGAGTATAAATCCTTCCATTCCCCACCATCCACTCAGAGCTGAAGAAGCTTCTTGGATGAGAAGTCTTCAAAGAAAAACCAGAAAGTCCAATTGCCTCTTGAAAAAAAACACCTTTAGGACAATCATCAGAGGGGAACATCTGGAGATGAACGTAAGATTCAAGTACAGCTCGTCCTTGACTTACAACTCCTTGAGCAGGGGACTGGACTAGAAGACACCCCCCCCCAGGTCCCTTCCAGCTCTGTTCTGATTGACTGAGCCCCAAATTTCCATTGCTAAGCAAGGCACTTGTGAAGGGAGTTTTGCCCCATTTTTGCCATACTTGTTAAGTAAATCGCTACAGTCGTTAAATATATCGCGCAGTCATTAAGCGAATCTGGCTTCCCCCATTCACTTTGCTTGTTGAAACTTTGCTGGCTGGGAAGGTCAGAAACAGGGATCACAGGACTCCCAAGACAGTGTAAAGATACATGCCAGTTGCCAAGCATTCAAATTTTAATCATGTGCTCGTGGGGATGCTGCAATGGTTGTTAAGAGGGAAAATCAATTATAAATCACTTTTTCAGTGCCATTACGACTTTGATTGGTCAGTAAACAAATGGTTGTAAGATGAGGACTATTGTAGTTACATATTAAGAAGAGCTTTCTTTCTTTCTTTCTTTCTTTCTTTCTTTCTTTCTTTCTTTCTTTCTTTCTTTCTTCTTTCTTTCTTTCCCTCTCCTATCCCTTTCACTCTCCTTCCTTCCTTCCTTCCCTCTTCTTTCTTTCCTTCCTTCTTTCTTCCTTCCTTCCTTTCTCCTTCCCTCCCTCTTCTTTCTTTCTTCCTTCCTTTCTTCCTTCCTTCCTTCCTTCCTTCTTTCCTTCCTTCCTTCCTTCCTCCTTCCCTCCCTCTTCTTTCTTTCTTTCTTTCTTCCTTTCTTCCATCCTTCCTTCCTTCTCTCTCTCTCCTTCTCTCTCTTTCCCTTCCTTCCTTCCTTCCTTCCCCATCTCACTATCATGTGACTCTGAGTGGTTTACAATCTGATAAACAATATTATAAAAGATTAAACCCATAAGACAATAAATACATTAGCATTAACAAATAAATAGGTGAGTTAGTGGGCGATATACATTAGAATGGAGATGGATTTTTCTGATCAATTCTTCCAGTCTGAATAAATTAAGGAAATCAAGTACGCTGGGAAGGGGCTAGGAGATCTCCTGGCGTGTTCGTTTGTGTGAGTGAAAGAACACACACAAGTGTGCAAGAGGGCGACAGAGAAAAAGGGCTTCATTTTTGTTGTCATAGCATAAATCTTCCATGCCTTTTCAGCTGGAGCAAATTGTTACGAATAGTTACATGACATTCATCATCATTTGCGGCCCATAGCAATCTTATGCCTCATTAAGAGCAGTCAAATAAGACTCCCATCTCTTCAGCCTAATGAAATCAATGGCTGCAAAATGGGTGTCAGCCATTGGTGGGTTGTTCCTGGTTTGGACCGGTTCGCAAGAACCAGCAGTAAAACTGGTGGGAGGCTCCGCCCACTGACCCGGACATCATCGTAAGTGATCTGCACATGTGCAGAAGAGTGTGCATGCACGCGAACCGGTAGTAAAGGTAAGTAGAATCCACCTGAACCCACCCCTGGTGTCAGCACAGCAAGTGTTGCGGGACGACTGTTTGCAGCGGTACGGTAAAATAATGTTTGAAGTGGAAAGTATCCCGTCTAAGGCAGAGGTCTTCAAACTTGGCAGCTTTAAGACTTGTGGACTTCAACTCCCACAATTCTCCAGCATATCATAATTCAGGAAGTCTTTTCAAATTGCCATGATTTCTCACACAATCTAGGACCTTTGTTTCTTAAATTAAACAGAAATTAGGATCTAGATCAGGGTTGAAATGATCCCAGTTCGGACTGGTTCGGAGAATCGGTAGCGATGGCGGCTTGAGGCTCTGCCCACCCGCTGGTCGTCATTACTTCCTGGTTTTAACCAGGAAGTAATGGTTTTAACCAGGAAGTAAGCTGTTTTTTAAACAGGTTACTTCCTGGTTAACCAGGAAGTAATCTGTTTTTTACCCTCTGCGTATGCACAGAAGGGTTTGCACATGCGGAGAGAGTTGGCATGCACATGTGATTTCATCCCTGCTCTAGATGTAATGCAAATCTTTGGCTGGAACTAAGCAAAGTTTTTCCCCAGTTCTATGTACTCATTTTAACTAATATCTGCCAATGATTTGTGATGCCTGTTTAAAATGGTGAAATTTAATGACAAAATTCCATATAGCTACCAATATATGCACTTTTCCTGTCTGATATCTTGGAATTATGAAATGCAACATACCTAGAGAGCATCAGGTTCCAAAAATAGTATTTTGAAACAGAAAAACCAGTTACATATTAGTTGTTTTTTTTTTTTTTTTTACTTCTGAATCCCAAAGAATCTTTCATTATTACAGGGCAGTAAAATGCTATGAATAGGTAAAAATATATTGGCCTATGTGAAATTATCAAAAGAAACAACTGTTGTGATAAGCCAAAAAGGCTAAGCTAAAAAGAGAGGGAACTTTTCAGCACTTTTTGCAGAGGACTATCAACACCAATGGTTGCACTGAAAAAAAATAAATCTATGGTTGTCTAATCTCTTAAATCCTCAGGACTAAGAGCCATGAAAAATGGAGAAGAGACCATCAAATTGAACCTATCTGTCATGAGGTATATAAAGTAATTCAATATTATATATTTGCATTATAAATGCATATTTAATATGTAGGGATGAATGTGGGCTTCTGTAATACTGTATAATTCTGTTGTAACACAAGCTGTTGGAATTCCTGTAAAGCCAACCTTCAAGGCTTTCCCCATGTTAAATATGGAACTATCCGTGGTGCTGAAATCTAGCAGTAGTGGCCAAAATTGTGGAAACTTTTTGGAAAAAGTGTATTTGTGAGGTTTGATGACTAATAGCATCACTTTTTTTTGGGAGTTTCGAGATAATCCTATTCCACTGCTGGAATGGCCTGGGAATAGCCCAGACCTTCACCCAATGGAAAATCAATGGAGCCGACTAAAGAAAATTGCTAGTTAAATTTACACAGTCGCAGAATCTGAGGGAAAATTTTTATAAAATGTTTTATAGGTGGCATTTAGATCGTAAGAAATTATCGTGTATATATCCTAATGTTCAACCAAAATGTTGGAGATGTGATTGCCTAGATGCCACATATTATCATATGTGGTGGACTTGTAAGAAAGTGAAGGCTTTTTGGATAAAAATTTGGTGGGTCATGCAGAATGTTTTGAAGAAAAAAATTCAGTTTTCTCCACAATTGTTTTTATTGGGTATAGTTAAGGGTTTTACATTGGGTGAAGTAAAGTTGATACTGTATATGATAACAGCAGCGAGATTACTGATAGGTCAATATTGGAAAAATGAAGCTATGCCTACTTTGAAGAATGGACTTTGAAGATGGCTAGTTTTGCAGAGATGGCGAAGATTTCAGCATATTTAAAAGATCGCTCACAAGAGATTTATGTATGGGAGTGGAAAAAGTGGATAGATTATGTGCAGAATAAATATCAAACTAGGAAATATCAGATAGCTTTTAACTGAACGTATTATATAGGGATAGAATAATTGAATTTTGTGAAGATGTGAAAAATATACAGGGGGTGGAGGGGTTCAAGTTTTATAAAAAGGGGTTTTTGATTTGGATTATATTTTGTGGAAGTCCGGGGGGGAGGGGTGGGCTAGGGGGGGCTAGGGAGGGTTGGGGGGGTCAGGGAGGGTTAGGGGGAGGAATTGGGGAGAAAATGTATTTGTAAAACTTTTTCAAAAAAAAAAAAAAAGAAACTTGCTAGTCAGAAGCGACCCAGCAATAAACCCAGTTCATAGAAGCAATCCTTCTTTAGCTGCTTTGTGGATCCTCCCCGCGCGCTGCATGCACAACTGCCCCATCTGCGCATGCACACAGCTTTTGCATGGCTCCCCCGTTCGCTGCATGTGCAATCACACCATCTACACATGCGCATTTGCATGCTGCATGCAAATACTCTCGTACGCATGCACAAACGGCTGCACATACGCACTGGAGGCCTGAACACCAGCTGGGGCGGATGTGAATGTGCAGCTGCAGGTGAGTTGAGTGACAGCTTGTGTGCCTGGAAAGATGGCTCTGCGTGCCACCTCGGGCACACATGCCATAGGTTCGCCATTGTTCTGGCCCCGCCCTCTGAGCCTGTCCCATCAGAGGAAGAAAGCTCCGAGCATGAGGAAGAGGAGTCAGCCAGGCCTCCCTCTCCAGGCCCCTCCCCTCTGGCACTGTCTCAGGTGCCG